AGAAAAAGAAGAAAGAAAAAAAAAAAAAAAAAAAAACGGGAGTTACGTTTTCATGCGTGCCATGTGTCGGCCATAATTAAATCCTAATTGCCGGAGGTCGGGCTTAATTTGATTTGACGCTGAAAAAAAAGGAAAACCTGGATCGTGTCGATAGCCATGCGCGTAAGGTCTTTGATCCTCGTTGACACAGTTTCCATTGAAATGTGGAATGCCTCACGTGTGTCTGCCAACACTTATACAGATTAAAATAAGAATCGTTGGCCACCATACACGATGGAAACGTTTCAGATCCATCTAAGAATGTATAGCACTCAACTCAAGGCGTCTAATTATATGCAGACAGCTTGTCGCTCCCAAATCTTGCACGAATATCCATTTCACTTGTGTTATATAAATACCACGGCTACGCAGCACCACGCGAATTTTTTTTTATTATCACCTAAACGATTATATTAATTTCTTGGAGATGAACGAGTTACGACAACCAGACAATTTGAGGTAGACAGTTTTTTTTTTTTTTTTCTACAAATTAATTAAGGATTCTGAGAATTTTTCTGTACATATGTTACAAAATACACGGCAAGCTTGCGTGAGTAAGTAAATGCATCATAGGAAAGAAGATGCAAGTATTTTCCATTTGCTGATTTACGTTTAATATAACACTCATAGGAGTTGATGATAGTGCGCAAATACCAAATCAATTTAGTTCACGAAGGAGGGAATTACAGGGTGTTAGAAAGAAATTGTGCTCGATTCTTCTGAACGATAGTTTTAGCTATAAATATAGCAGGATTGATTTACTACAAATTACATACATATTTTCTACTGTTTCTTTTTTCTAATTATTTTACATATGAAGACATATACGAGAAAATTTACTGTATTTATCAAACATAGTAAAATTTGTCGGACATCTCTCGAATGAGTATCCCAATACTTGTAGCCAACGGTGTAAATGTTCGATCTAAGACACTTCTTGCAAGATAACTACAGAAAGATACGTAAGAGGACGTATAGCGTGCTTCTTGCACGTACGGTAAAACGACAATAAAAGGGGAAAGAAAAAGAATGAAACGTATCTCTTCTGCACGACTAAATTACCATTAAGCCCAAAACAAGCAATCATGTCAATCCGACAGGAACAGGTAAAATGATACCTGTCGCGCAAATGGCGAGTAAATTGTTATACCTTATATTTTTTGTTGCAGAAATTACTATTACACGATTACGCACGTTAATGAGCATGTTTCTTTTTATTTTTTTATTTTTTTTTTTTTTGGAGTCACCGTGAAATCTGTGTGAACGAAAAACTGATTTGCAACTGTGTTGCGTACGTATGTATATATATCCATTGTGACATTCGTTCCTTTTCCGTTCTACCATCGCCATTTTCTGTCGTTGTCATTGAGAGAATTCAAAGAATTGTGAAAGCAGAAACACTGGTACGTGATCGAAATGCCATAACTTTGGCACGAGGCTCCTGGCTACTGACAAAATTCGTGACGGAACTTGGATACACGAGTCGATTGTGAACGTCCTCCTTCGGCTTGTCGCGCATTTACCAAATTCTGGTTATTACTGGAATGATGTGAAGAAATCTGGTCAGATGTTTTCAACTAGCACGTTTCACCAATGCAATATGTTGATTCGAGTACTGCGCTTTGCAAGGAAATTAAATCTTCATGAGTGATCTTTACTTACGCGAGTATTCTATACTCGTTTCTGACAAAAATGGTGAACTTCAGACAAAATATTTGAGAACATTTGTCTCCGTTATTAATTAGGAGGCTACGGATTTTCATCTACTAATGAGAAAATGACGACTCAGGTGTGTTGAAAATTTTGATCCTGATTTTTTTAAATGTTGGCTTTCGTCACAACTTCTCTCGATTACGGAATAAATGAGAATTTCGCGAATCCTTTCTAAGTGTATACAGGATTTCACAGGGAAATCTGGTGTATGCCAATATCTTCGTATGTCATAGTATTTGACATGGAGATGCCCTTACCGACTTTTACGAGGTACAATTTGCAGAATGCGGCCTATAGAATGCGGAGAGTGAAACGCAAGACGTGGAATGTAGAATGTGAAAGATGAAATGGTACGATACGAACTGCAGAAGTATTAAAAATTCATACGATCACGTAAAATACATTTCTTATTGGGTTTCGTAACACTAACTTCGAGTACTTTTTCCTTTTTTTTTTTTAAGAAAAAAAATTACTTGGTTATGTAAATACAAACTAAAATGCTAACACAGCAACCTTCGCGTGATCGAGCAATATAAATAATGCTTATTTTCTTGTTAATGACGCAGTCTCAAGATTTTTTACTGATCGGTTGATCCTTGTTCTTTACACTCGTCAGAGCAAAATTCCCACAGTACGAAAAGCAAGAAAATTGGAGGAAAAGTTGAAAGAAATTTTAAACTTGTCGATTGTGTATTTCACATTCTACTGATTTTTTACTTGATCGGCTTTAAATTCTAACTTTTTCGAACCCTATTGTTCAATTGGATGCAAATTTCACTCAGATCAATAAATAATCCAAGCATTAACTTATGGAATTCACGGTCGTTTAAATGAATCGTGGAATTCCTAACGGTCCTCAACAACTTGTCCTACTTTTATTCTACTTACATAAATTACAAATCACAACGTTCTTAGTTTTTAGTAAATGTTATTTTTGGCAGTTTGTCCGATTAGCACAAGTAGTTACCTGTATATAAATCCATACTGAAAGAACTCGGAGAGTTGTTGATTAATATTAACGGATACATTGCGTATCTAGGAAATATCGAATTAAAACAAAATTTATTTCTCACTCCAAGAAACGTTATACAGAATGACATACGTAAAAGTCGAAACATTGTTGCTACATTCTAGAATGGAAAAATGGTTCAAAATAACTGTCCGTTTCCCAAAATGTCTGCTAGGAGGCGGCAGTAGCAGCGGGCAGTTTCAATCGCGAAATAATTACGTCAAACTTACGACTTTAGACGAGTTTAGTACTTTACGTAAGTTTTCACTATCGCGTACGAAGTAAACGTGAGAATGCAACGATATCCTTAAACACTTGAGAGCCAGCGAATCTCAGTCACGTTTAAGAAATAACACGGAAGAAGTCTGTGCCGAGAAAGCTGATATTTTTCATGGAATAATCGGAACACGATCACACGACAAACATCGCGGCAAAGAGTTGAGATTCCTGCTCGTTCGTCCGCTGTTGTAAATTTAGATCCGCGCCTGGTTCCACGAACGTAGTCTTACTGACGACGACGACGACGACGACGACGACGACGACGAACGGAAATGAAAAGCAAAGGGAAAACAGCTTCCAGGCTGGCGAACATTCTCCGTCGCGTATGCCGTGCGCGATTAGTCGCGCGAAGGATGAACAATCTTCTGATAAGCCGAGCGTGAGACTAGGACGACAATAGAATTAGGTATACTTGTGATTGATGTGATAATGTTTGATCGTGATAAAACTTTCGAACACATTCTCGATTTAATTCCAAACATAAATTAGTCTCACTTTGTGAACCACTACCAAGGTCTAGATAATAAAGTGTCGTGCCAGAAATCTCAAGGCAGTAATTTGACTACGACACACACATCTCATTGCGTTTCAGAGCTAATGGAAAGTATTTGAAAAGAAACAAGAAAATTTGTAACTACTTCTTAGATGAAACTGATTTTAATCGTTTATTGATTAACATGTGAAATTTGGGTGATACGAAAAGTTCAACTGAAAGATGAAGAGCGTAGTGTCATGAGAAGATCGCAAATAATGTACGCTTGTTGAGAAATAGAGCGAATAATGCGAGCAAAATGTCATGCGAGGAATGACAAACACTGTCTTGGAATGAGAGAGAAAAGAGAAGAAAACCAAGAAGAAGGCTAAAGGCTAAAGAAACGGCAAAGAAAAGGGAAAACTTAAACATGCGTTCTGTTGCATTCTTTATACACCGTTTTATATAACTCCTTGAATTTAAAATGAGCCAATTTTATGTCTCTGCTAGAGTTGAACATTCTAATTTTATTAATGTAAACATTTAACGAAACAGAGATTTCCAAAAATTAATAGATAACGAGAAAAGAATAAATTATTACTACCAAAAAAGTCTTTCTAATATAATTAGGGATACAATAACAAATCAACAACATAATAACATAACAAATTATTTTAATCTATTTCTCGCTTATTCTAGAAAAATACTAGAGAATAACTAACATAATTCCCATGATACGTATCTCTTTACAAAATGATTAAATTATCTTCAGCAACAATAAACTGTTTCCTAGAATTCTTCATTATCTCAACACTAAATGCACATTTATTTTCCATTCATTTCAAATGAAAATTAATAAACATTGAATACTTCATTTGTGATAATTCTAATACGCAAATAATGCACGGATTGCATTGGTAAATCTTGACCTGCGATTTTTATGTATTCTTGTACGAGCAAAGGAAAAAGGACTCGGCGCGTCCATCAAGTAGTGCATGTCATTAATTCACGCTACCTATTTTAAATTTACTTCTTACTTTCATATTGAGTTTATCTAACCTGCAATGTATTTAAAAAGTTCGAAAGTACATTGTACTTGCGTATCATATATTTCATTTCATGCTTATTCAAATTTATTGCTGCGATACTGTGTTATTAATAAATAGGTTGCGATATGCGAAAATATAGGAAATATCGAAAAAATAAAGATAACTTAAAGACTGAAGCAAATATTTAAGTTCTATTTAGTTTATATATAGTATAATAAATAAAAGTTGTATATGTAAATATATATGAATAATAAAACTCAATACACGTAATAATAAAATACCTAACAAATATATCGTAGCTAACTTGATGAGCAATCTCAAAATTTATTCAAAGAAATCAAGAAATTAAATCGAAAGAGGGAACAGCGCAAAAAAGCAATTCTTACAACAACTCGGATTAAAAAAAATCAGGCTACGAACGATTTCTTGATCTACTCACTGCAGGCTTTTTGCCAATAGCGCTTGCATCGCTGTAGGACGTAACCTTCATGTAAGGACTGGAAACGGATATCGGCACGGTAATCATTTTTCCACCGTTTATCTCTCCACTTTTCTCCCATTCGATAGTCGACAAAAATCGAACGCGAGTTCAATCACCAGGATCACCGCGACGTGTTTTTCCTTTTCTCTCAAATTGAAAGCTTTGGCACGTTTTCAGGATCGCTTCTGGAGGCGCGATTTTTTTGGGAGGTCGGCGCACGATCTCTCTTCCAGACGACAATGACAAAACGATGCTGGTTAGGAGAGTTTATTATTATTATTACGCTCTTTCACGTTAATTTGCCAACTGTCAGATGCGCGTAAGTGATCACTGACTCTGATTTATCGTCGAAAGTTTTGTTCATTCACTGTGACGGTTCCTCGAATAAATTTTCTATGAACTACGACAGGAGCATGAACTTGCGGCTACCACTTCGTCAGATTTGCGATTTTCGAAGTTCCTCGTGAAGCTTGGTATACGTTGGCGCTTAATAGAAAATGATTTATTTCCGACCAAACTTGTGCGTCTACTTTCAAGGCTGTTCACAATAGTAAAGAGCCGTTTCTCCACCGAGTCGCGTATACGTGTATACTCACTGGATTCGATCTCGAAATTTCTACTTTTAATTTAACTACGAACGTATCTCTAATTTTTTTCTTTCTTTCGATACTTTCACCAGAGAACGCGGGAGATTTAAATCTTTGGCAAAGTTCGATGCACCAATCGAGAACCAATAGTTGGAGTAACTATTTCTGTTTGTCCGATTTCGACTGATCGTTCGATATTGCTTCTTCAATTGTGTATATGACGCAAGTAATTTTCAACTGTTTTCAATGATTTTTAAATGTTCTGTGTGGTTTCGTTCGGCGTCACTAACTTCGACACTTTCAACGAGAACTGACAGCATGAACCGTCTCGTCTCAAGGCAAGCATTGCACTGATCTAATCGTGGATTAGCGTGCGAACTTTTCTAGTTCAGTCGAAACGACGTTGTTTTCAAGCTGATGTAAGTAGTAACACCTTTACCGACGGACGAGCAAACATCGACTGACACGTAGCGCACCTCGTCGCTTGAACAGACGAATGGACCTCCTTGGCGCGCTTCTTTCATGCAACGTTGGTGGATTATTTTCTGGAAAAATATCTCTAAAAGGGTTGTCATAATTTGATCCCGAGCCATTTATTACCAAACATTTTCTGCCGATATTAATTTATTAAGCTACCAAGTAACGTTTGTCGCCTCGCATCGTTTACTCCCCTGTATACGTTGTCTCAATTTCGTATACGTCACTTGTCACCACAGGGTGTTATGACATAGTTTACTTTATTAATTGTAAGACCAAAGATAATCGTCATTAGCTTATCATACTTTTTTTTTTATTTCTTTTTTTATAAAGTCTGCCGTTAATTAAAAACGAGAGGCTAATTGAAGAATAATGTAGTATTACAATTTTACATGCATTTTATTGAGTAGATTCAATTGCAGAATGCACTTATGTAATATTGAATCAATGACGATGATCGAAGGTCACTGATGTATTTCTGCTTTTTTTCAGTGACAAGTAGCCGAGTGTGAAAGGTTTTTAATAATTCATCAATTCTTCCTCGCAGAGAGCGTCGTGAATTTTTGGGATGAAATTACAACGGTTATAATTGTAATGTGAACATTCACGGAAAAAAAGGAGTCAACAATTAATTGCTGACTAAAAACCTGATCACCGCAGTGAATGCGAATTCATTTTCATATAATGCAATTGCATTTCTTCACTTGATTTCACCATGATAAATTCATCTCTTCTTGTTTTCTTTGTATCATAATGCATAATTTAATTTGAAATCAATCGTGCTTGAATTTTCTATTCTCGTAAAATATAAAATATTATTTCTCGATTAAGTCCATTGTCTGACATTATAAAATAATAATGTTAATAAAAATGTTAATATTAAGGCTCGTGAAAATAAATACTTTAAAAATTCCATTATCTAGTATAAGGTGTTCAGTAATGAGCAATTATAATATATCATTGTATACAAAATTATGATAAAGCGCTCCGAAACGTATGCATTTCAGCATGCATTTCTACTTTTAAAACGCGTGTATGTAGTTGAATATTTACAACATTTTATAAGCTTGCTATTCGTAAACAACATGATTTACAAGTCAAACGAGGTTCATTCGATCGACAAAGTTTTCAACGCCTCGTTTAATTGGCCATCTTGGGAAAATTGATTCGCCTTAAAATAAAACTTGCGCGATCATACAGACTTCAAAAAACAACGAAATAAAATTTCGACATGCGCGCTGCTATGCTTTGTTTACATAAACCACGAAATTCGAATGCTGTAAAATTTGTTTGTTGATTTGTCAGCAAATCATCGACGAACGATTTATTTGTTTATCATTCCTCCAAGAAATAATATGAAATAAATCCCCTCCTGTTAGAAGAAGATTAATCACTTCATTCTTAATGCTGGATTAACCTTAACGAGGAAAATCGCAAGCGATCGATTATTGTTTCGATTCTACTGTTCGCATTTAAATTACAGAAGACGACGTCGAAACAAGAAGAGTGCCAAGGTATTGTCGACTATGTAATTTCTCAAGTTTGCTATCTCTCATTATAAAATAACTTTTTTTTCGTATTTGAATGTCAATAGACTATTTTCAAAAGATCGAAACTCTACAATCGAATTCCTCCGTGCACGACGGTTATTAGTTTCCTTATACGCATATTCTCTACCGAGATCATTTGCAATTCAAGCGGGCCCGTCCTCTCATGTTTTACATGCAAAAGCATGTCAGCATTTAACCGATTTCTAAACGTGTGGCCATAGTAAAACCAGTAGCCTTATCTGTCACAAGGGGAAAAAAAATAGATAATAGGACTTTTTATGTCCTGAATCGTATCATTTTTAATTCTATCCGTTATTTTCGTTCTAAATGCTCCATGACTTTCTAATTAACACGTACATTACGTTGTTATAACATTAACTGAAAAATGCAACTTTAAAAGATGCAACTTTAAAACAGATACATGAAAAAACGATATAGAAGATAAAGTCAGAAATGTAAACGTCGAAAATATTGGAGAGAAAGTTAGAAAATAAAGGGCTAAAGCAGGGATGAAAGCGAATTAGTTTATCGCTTTGAGGATCAAAGATAAAAATTGGCAAAAACATCAAACCTCATCGGTAAACAGTTATTTTAGAAGTGTTGATTCGACAGTGTTTGCGCTTCAATCTATTTCCGTAACATACGTTTTATTGATGTAAGAAATGGTAAGTATTAAGCGTCCCTTTGCGTGATTACAATTGAATGCGTGAATAACACGCGACCCCATTCATATAAAGATCATGTCATACTTTATGTTTCTTCGATGTTTATAATATTTGCGTGCAAAAGTTGCTGGATATTCATTTTCATTTTTATATCTTCGCTCGTGAATATAAAGTTGCTTGAAATTGAAAAAATGAAACATCTATTACATTATATAATTAAAAATCTACAAGTAAAAATCACGTATGCTTTAGCAACCTCCAATTTGGAAGTCGTTCGGTATGCCGTATATTGAAATTTAAAAATTCGGCTCGTTACATTCCATTTCGTTGTCCCTGTTTCGCCTCGATCGTGCCCGGTGTTAATGAAAAATAGCAGATTGGTCGTGTCGGAGGAACCGGTTTTGTGTCGTTGCGTCACCGAACCGGCGAGTGTTCATGTCGTTCGATGCAACAACGATTTTCATTCCAGACAATCGCAACGGTTAATTATTGCGCGTACCAATGCACTTGCGCCCGCGGCGATTTCAAGGTCTCTCCTCCTCCTCCTCCTCCTCCTCCTCCTCTCCATCAACGTTTCATCATAGACATTTTTCACGGCCAAATGGAGGACCTTGTTAAACGTCAGCAATTTAACGGATCACGTAAGTCGTTCGAGAGTTACCAATCGGTTCCCAATTAAATCAGCTGCTTTATGATGATTATTCGAAACTCTGAGAAACGAATTAGTGGCCGAGCGCAAGGAGGATTTGAAAAAAAAAAAACGGGACTTTCAATTTATGCGCGTGAAAATACGTCTAAGGAATAGATGATATGTTGATCTTGTCATGGTTAAGTCATATCCTCCTCATTCTTACATGTTAGTAAGAATTTTAATGAATGACATTCTACTTGATTAATTTTCAAATTAGTTTCGCTCGAGAATATATTGATCTAATAGAAACGTGACTTAGTTGCAATTTTTGAATTTTATTTTGTCTCCTGACTAGTAAAGATAAAGATGATTGTCTTATTTATGAGCACCGAAACAAGTATAGAATAAAATAAAAGGATTATTCAAGAGAATTGATTAGGAATAGGTAGAATAGAATTAAAGAGCAAGGTAAATATGATTGTGATAGATACGATAGTTTATGCAAGATTTACCAATATGGTATAGAACAGTTTAGCTGCTGGTAGTCATAGTAACAGTATCCGGAGCTACTCTGCCATTGGAATGCAATAAGAATACCAACGTGTGCCAATGAACCATGAAAGGTCCTTTCATTTCGTTGGCCTATTGTGATTGCATAATCGCGATAATTGCATCCGTCAGGATCTTGTTTCAACAAAGAATGACATAGAATCGTTATTTTTCAACTCTTCTTGTGGAATTTTTTTTTTGCTTTCGCAGACATTTAAAAGATGTGACAAATATTTTACGTGTAATAGAATAATCTAGGAAATAATTATTTCTTTAATGTCAAAATTTCTTGCATTTCTGACATAAAATATATATACTTGTGTCTTTTAATTGCAAGATTTATATTGCAATTAAAATGCATTAAATTGAAAGATTCACAACTCTGAATATATATCGTGGATTCTTAATCTGTTAAATAAAAAACTTAACTGAATATTATCCCAGAAGAAAAAAGAAACATTGTATTAAAAATACAATTAGAATGATAGAATACAATTAAATGTTTTGTTTAATTGCAGAATCGCGAGTGAGTGTAACGTAATGAAAATCGATTGAGCATTCTAGTTTTGTCCCCAGCAATTTGATCACCTTGGGAATTTGTCTGAATTTTGCGAGATCACCGTAATCATGCTACATACTTCGCCATTTTAAACAAAGAGTAAGAACTACCGTGTGTTTTCTTGTTTCGTGTAACCGAGCCAGCCCTTCTACGCTAATTAACCCCCTTCCATCAACTTTGCCATACGTGCATATGTATGCGTTACATTTTTTGCAGCGAGGCGTGGCGAGGAATTTATATACATTATATATATGTACATTTCTTACAGTAGGACTCGGTGTCTTTCCTTCGGTACATCTTAAACTGTATTATAAACTCGTTTCACTTGAAATAGCAAATTTTCCGTCAAATAAACTCGAACATAAATTACTTCTTTTCAAGTGTTTTATATTGAAATACTTTTTTTTTTTTTCACCCATCGAACGACAGGAAAATCGGAAAACCAACAAAAATGGCTTCATCATATTATTCACGTGCGGCTTTTAATTGTTACTATAGCTTAGCTGGAATATGACAATAGTTTGGCAAGGAGAAAGAATCGATATCTTGGTTAATAAATAGCCGATAACGGATCGAATGTACAATAGATTGTGAATTTTTTTTTTTTTCAATTTGTTCCCATTGCTCCCGCTACTATGTACTGATTATCGTGATATTTTCGCGCGACGTACAACTCTGTTTCTACGTTATTAACCCTCTTCTTTTGCCACGTCCTCGTTTGAAGCCGACCAAGTACCGTCGAGTGTCGTCTTCTAATGGTGGTATACTCGACCACCGGCAATCTTAACACGCGGACGAGTTGTAGAGAGGAAAAAAAAAAAAAAAACATGTTGCTGTGCAACGCTACTGTTATCCACCATGTTTATCATGCATCAGGCTTCTTATCAGCCTTTTGTTAATTTTGGTTAATCCGGTTGCTGATAATAAGTGGGTGAGGTTTCTGGCTTCAAGTTCTATCATTTTGAAGAGGATAGCCAAAAACGAACAGAGACGTTGCAATTGGTTGTTACAGTTTTTTATTCGAATTTTTAGAGAGAGAGAGAGAGAGAGAGAGAGATTTTTGGACATTGAAATTTTTAAGTCTTCGAATTCATGAATTATTAAATCTTTCAATTAACGAAATGCAAAGATGATTTTGGACATTGACATTTTTAACTCTTCAAGTTCGAATTTATGAATTATTAAATCTTTCAATTAACGAAATGCAAAGATGATTTTTTAGTAACATATTAAATTTTACAAAGGAAAGATTTATCATGTTTCTCACTTGTGATTTTCAATTTTATAAGATATCTCGAAATATGTACTGCATAGATAATGCCATTGCACAGTAAATCTTGGACAATAGTCGTCAGATATTTAACTGACTGCACATACAATAAAAAAGATCAGAGTGAATTTGTCTTCATCTGCGTCACACGATGCTATTTAAAATTCAATTTAAGAGTTTTAAACGACGGAAGATTTTACTGAAATATTTCAAAGAATTCGAATTCTAAATGTAACAATAAAACGATACGTAATGCGTAATTTTAACTGCCTCCTCTTCTTATTAACAGAGGTACTATACATGCACCGCGCAGAGTGCGGTAAGGGTCATAAGTCAACTATACAATTAATCACGTGGTCGTATGTTTCCAAGAAATGTCCTTCGAGTTATGGAACAAATGTCAGCCATCGTTTCAAATTAAAATAAGGAATCTTACTGAGATACTTTTGTTTACTAAATTCTAGTCACTGTCAGTAATCATTCAACTGTTTATACTTGTCATCCTTCATAAATTGTCGTCATTTTACTAGCATCAATGAAAAATTCGAATTTTGATATTTTTTAAAAATAAAAATAATAATCAGCGTTTCCAATTATCTCCAAGAATAAATTCTAAAACTGAGTTGTTTTTAAATCAATTGGTAGTTTTTTAATTTCTTATTGATAGATATGTCTATGTATAATAAATCTTAAACTTTTGTAACAAAACTTTGTCCAATTACATTCTCATCACTGGACGAGAGTTTAGAAGAACGAAACCGAAATTTCGGACATCGACATTTTCTACTGAAGTTATTTCCTATATACAGGTTGCTTATTTTCTCTATTTAAACGTAACCGGTCTATCTGACGTCAAAGCTAAGAGCGACAAAATATGGAAGGAGCAGCTTCTCTCTCATCTTTCTCATGCTTTTTTTTCGCAAATGCTAAACATATAAATCGATTGGCCGCGTTTCAACCAGGGAATAAATATTGTTCGGTAGTTTATATTGTACGTCGTTTAAGCCTTTCGACTACGAAACGCATCCTCATCGGAAATAGAATCACGTATATGTACAGAGGCGTGAGTGCATCGTGCGCGTTACGTAAGCGATGCACGTGTACAACGAATGTCGATACGGGGGAAACGATCGAAATCTTAGCAGTATGCGCCTATATCTGTTTTGGCAAGTACAATAATTTCTTGGATCACTCCAAAATACGAGCTTGTTAGCGTGAATTCGAGACTCGTTGGACAACAATTTCCGTTTTCAATTTTTTATCAGACTTTCAAGCTCTCTAGCACTCTTTAAACATTATGTTTGTGTATCAACTTCATCGCTGAAATTAGTAAACAATTATTAAAATTTGACAAACTGACTTATCTGAGCAGATTATAAGAAGAAAGAATAGAAAGAAACTGTTGATTGATTTTCATATTCTACATAGCATTCCAGTTCTGTCCATTATTTATGCATGTCATTCGCCATGAATAAATTTACGGAAACAAGTTTCTTGAGAATTGAATATTAATCATGTACGTGTGTAATGAAATTGAGAGATTAATAAAAAGTGGAATCGACCAATTTAGTTTCCGAGGGTCCTTGACAAACGCGATTTGAAATTCGTCTTCTAAAATTTTATTATGAAATTTCGCTTGCTTCTAGAACGAGCGATTTATCCTTTCACGAGAGTACTGTCAGATTTTTTTTTTTTTTCTTACATTCACGTGTTCGGGGAGTGCTCTTTAAAACATATTCGCTGGACGTCACAACCAATTTCGCCATATTTTCACCCGGTTCCCGGGAATTAATAGCGGCGGTTCTTGCACACGGCTTTTATTAAATAATTTTTTACGAGATACAGAGGCTCGTCGAGTGGTGCAATTTATCGTCGTGCTCTGTATATTACTAGCCAACGCGTAACGTATAGCGATTAAAATATGTCACGCGAGATTACATGCTCCTGCGTGCTTCCCTGTTCTCGTACGCGTTACATTAGAAGATATCTTCATCTTGTCATATTTATCTTAGCTCCCTTCTCATTTTAATAAAGGTTGTCAGGAAATATCAAGAAAAAGAACGCCGAGAAGCAGATTTAAAAAATGATCCGTGTATAAATGCACAAATTACGATAACGTCCAATGATGTCGATAATTCGTAGATAGTGACACCTTCTTATCAGTATGTTCGTGATATAACTTTTTTTTTTTTTATATCGGTTGACGTTCAATATCGGCTGGAATATATTATCAGCATTTATAAGTTTATAAACAAACTCGATCGTACAATAACGATCTCGTGACGATCGCAAAAACGTGTAGAAGTAAATACTCTCTGAGAAATTTCAATGTCGTGCACTATGATAATTATAACAGCTCTGTGCGTTAAATGCAATGCACATTATAAAGTCTCGATAACTTTGCACAACGAGTGATCAACATGGCGTTCCAATTTCGTCACGGAATTGAGTTTTAGAACTCGTATCGATACGTATCGATCTGTGTCGGGCAATTGGACAGCGTCCATCGATCTTTCAATTTACTTAGCACACGTCGGTTCTCAACCTGTATCCCCAGGGCGAAAAAAAAAAAAAAAGAACTCGGGAATCAATAACTGATACCAAAATGAAATTATATCTTTAAATCTGCTTCAAATCTCGACATTTTTTCTAGACATACAAAATGTGACGAACGATTTTTTCTTGTTTATACGATATTAACGCTTATTGCGATATTCAATTAGAGAGAATAGGAATATCCTGTATATCGAATTCTTATTTACAATTATTCTCGTAGCATTTGGGCACACTTTAAAACCTAATTTGAGTGGCCTTGCACAACTGAACTAATATTACTGGCGAAAATTGTACAAGTCGCGACGTGTTATCCATACAATAAATTCTTTTACGTAACATCAAGAAATATCAGTAAATTTTGCAACTTAAAAACCAGTTGATCATTTGACATGAAAGTGTCAAATTATACAGAAAAAAGTCTTGCAATTTGCCAATGTTAATCGATATCAAAATGAACGTTTTGATAGTTTTAAACGTTCTATCAGAACATGATGCTGATACAAGTTTCGTTGGTTTTTAAATTTCGAAACGACGTACACACGAATATAATGGAAACTACCTCTAAGATGGCGGGCTCTCGCGCGAGTCAAATTAATCCCCTATTAATTCAATCTAGATTCCATGGAACGCAATACCGACGCTTAAACATAAATCCGCGAAGCTTAACAAGAAATTCATGGTCAACCAGGAGTGTCCCACTTTCCGGCAATGTTCAGTGCACATGTCGACGTCTTATCTGGCAAATGCGTGGGCGTGCAAGCATAGTACCGAACATTCCTCATAAGTGCAACAACGCGTAACACGCCACTTCGCTGGACAAAGATGCAAAATCATTGCGCATAATGCCGTGTGAGCATCCTAAAAGAAAATGCTGATAAAACGAGACGAACGATGCAAATAATATAAGCATACTCAGCTGCTTGCTTGGAGAGAACATTGGTGAGAACATTGCGATGGTAATTTTAAATCAACAGTATTGCGATAACCATTATCAACACTATAATGATGTATTAATTATTCCAGATAAGATAATCGTGCAGGAAATAATTTTTCAAGAATTGACGTGAAGAAGCAATTACTAGATAGACTGTCTTGTTTTTATTCTTTTTCTTTTACAATTTTATGAGGAACACAGAAAACTTTATATAATACGTATATAATAAGTATACACACACGCTACGTACGATTTTTATATGTTGTAGAAAACATAATAGAATTTCGAAATATGTTGGTAAGTATGCTGTAATATATATACTATTATGCATTATACAATTATATAATTGTACATTATAGTAATATGATATAAATAAAACATACTTTTTAATATAGAGTAGAATAGAAAAATTTGAATTACTTTGTAGTCGCCATCTTTCGGTATTTTTAGATATTACGAGAGACTGTGTCCCTGACTGTGTCAATACATTTGGACAACACAACGCTAGTACATTTAGGAACATGAGCAAACACTTTCTATTAATTGCCTTAGAATGTTTCACCTGGAAAATTGTATGGACACATTGATCCCTTATCTCGGAAGTACAGGCGTACGAACTTGATACGAGGAATTCTCAGTATAAATTATGGCATATATAACATATTATTATTTGAATAAATGTAGGTGAATGTTTGCTTCGGTGCGTATTAAGTACTTTTACCGGTCAGTATATACTTTATTATAGTGTTTATCAATGTTGACATAACAAGCAAAGTTGCTCTCTAATTCGTTAGAATAAAAGACAGCGTTCAACATTTCTAAAAATGATTTCCCAAAGTTTCCTTCTTAAAGAAGATTTACTTTCAGCGTGCACTACCAGAAAGAAATTAAGATGACTCAAGATGATTCATCTCTGATGGCCAGCAAGCGTGAAGCAGCCGCGATTCTCGCCAAATTTCTCTAAATAGAACAATTTTCAACACGATCGTAAATTTACAGAGTGTCAATGTTTTAATCTTCTCTATTATCGATTACATTGGTAACCAAATGTTTCCATTTTACTTTACTTAAACTGTTCGTGCTGAACTTACTTATGTGGTGTAGTTAGCGTGATACGATGTTTCCACAGGATCGAATACACGATATTCCTGAGCGAAGTGGATCCTGGAACCACTTAATGGAAACGATGCAAATACACAATCACCAGATCACGGTCCGGTAGCTTCGCGAGGTCCGCGAACGGCTCCGATGCCATTCGTGCAACGGGAGCTAATGGTTGCGAGATGATACCCGTAACGATCGTTAAGGACAAACTTAATAATAGTAGCCGGATATTTACTATAGATCGTGAGTCGTCTAATTGGCCGGTCGGAGACGAATTCATGACTGGCGGCCACTTTGCGAATATATCGCGAGCACCGAGCCAAAATCGTCGCACGAAACACAGATTCGCTACCTATGAAAGGTACTCTATACATTGTAGAGAGCCGTAACATACACAAATACACATATAAGTATCTTTGTATGTACAACTTTGTACAATAGTGTCTTGCTAATTGGCCGTGAATCAAAATCTTATCCGGTCAATTAACGAAAAGCGTATCTACTTCTGAGGAATTCCCAGTATTTTCTTTCCACATTAAGAATGAATTAAATATGGATACTTGATACTTTTGTTCATTTTACATAGTGATTCATGAACAGTATTTTCTGTGAACGTATTATACACTGTAATAATTTTCACATATTTTCTGTGAACATATTATACACTGTAATAATTTTCACATATCTGTATGAATTTCACAGACAGTTTCAAGAAGTGGTGAGGATAGAGATAGTCAGCAAAGCAAAATCCTGACCAGTTAACGTGGCACTATTGTATACGACTGCGTGGGTGCAACCTGTGCATGCACGAAAGAATTACCGCTCGCGTGGAACTGTTCTTGTCGTGCTTCTTAATCGACAATTAAGATTATGCAATCTTCGAGACAATAAATTTATTGTTTTAAATTTATCTAATTGAAGTACCTGACGTGAGTAACACCGTACTGATGAAATTACACGATTAATATTTTATTTGCTTATTTAAATATAGAAGCATAAATGAATGATCTAATTGATCTAAATGATTTAAACCTCAATTTTTAATTTTCAAATTCTATGTGGTAAAGTTTATTTCGAAATACATATAAAATTCTTTTCTTATTTTTGTTAGAAATCATGAATTTCATTTCCTCATTTTAGATAACAGCAAAAAGTTCAATGTATTGACAGTATTCCAAATTAATATATGGAAATAGATACTAAATTAGTCACTAGAACCTGTAGACTATCAATTTAACTATGCCAAAGAATAAATAAATATGTATTGTTTATAACATTTGACACAGTTTATATTTTATAATTCTTACAGGTCTTCGGTGATATTTCGAATAGTGACGTAATTGGCGTGTTATGACACTAGAGGTCGTCGAACTCGGTGCATCACTTTCCACCTGCACGTTGCTCAACCAAACATTAGAAAATCGGGCTTATGCGAATTATTTCTCGATAATCCGTATTACTGCCGTATTTAAAAAATTAACCAGGCGAAACCTTAACAAAGAAGTTTACTATCTCATTTTTATTGATATTAGAATTTCACAAATAACGCACAGAGATGGAAATATTTTCTCTGTTGATAAACAAATTTGAGCAATTTACTTCCTGAAACCAAATGAAACGATTTCGACACAGATAGGCGTAAAAGTATTGAAAGCATCGAAATGAAGATAAAAAAAATATAAACTATATTGTTTTAAATTTCTGCGACTTGTAGATATCGTTTTAGACTCTGTAAGTGACAAAACGCAGCGAAACAAAACAAGTTTTCGAGCAGGTAATTTTGATGACTCTAGGAAATATAATCGAGCCTCGCGAACGTTAAAAAATATCATGTTAAGTAACTCTAATTGCAGACGTAATTTATTGCTCAAGCAAACTCACGGAAGTTATTATTGCGTCCAGAACGATTTTTTTTTTCTTTACGATGTCGAAATGTCTTAACGACATAACCTTTGAAACCTTGCACCTATTACAATTCGCAAATTATTTGGTACTAAACAATTTTCACATACTGTAACAAGAGAATAATTGCATAGAGCAATTCACTATTACACTACAATTATGTTTATTTACATAACAACGTAAATTTCATTTTAGCATCGATATAATTAGGCTGTGCATTTTTATGCAAATCAAGACTTTTGTGAGATAACATTTTTTTGTAATTATATGGAATATATTTTATTTAACAAATATATTGCGTGTACTAAGTTGACAGATACAAGGTCAACAGTCCTTCAATCCAGTAATCATGGATTTCATATCGTAAGGGAATGAATTTTTTGAAAATATTGCAGGACCTAACCTAAATTCCAATGAGTGTTTGTTACTTGACATTTACTTACCCTCCTGTGATTTGGCGCCAGGATAATTCCGCTTTCTCTCTAGATGCCGTTTGTCCTGAATTGACACAAATGTTCTCGCATCTAACGTTCACCGACCCAATCCTTGCACGGCATCTTCGCGTCGGTCGCGCAAACGTTAAAGCGTCGGATAAACACGCGATAATTCGTTCCTGCCGAATTGCGCGTTCGCGATCGACTTTTATTTGAAGAAACACACATTACAACCCGGACAAAACTCGAACAACGACGTTCACTGATCGACACCGGTGTCACGAATGCAACTCGCTTTTGTTTACTCTCTCCGAGCGCCGTCAGCAGGTGGCGCGCGAAAAAGTGGGGGGACCACAGATAATCGGCGTTCGAATCTTGGATATCGAAATATTCAGAATTTAAATTTTTTACAGTATTGAAACTCTAATTTTAAGATTTCCAATAATTTCAATGACTATGAAAATTCAAATTACGTCGGAAACGATTCGATATATAAGTCGATATGTTATATTCATTTTGCTCAAGTGTTGAAAGAAGAAAATGAAAGAAAATTTTTTTTTCTCATTGTTTTATTTATGAAGAGAAAATAGCATCTATTTGCAGGGTATAAGCATTTTTGACATGTACGGACCGTCGAGTTCGTATCCCATTTTTCTGTAATAGTTCCTAGTCCCGACACCTGGATAGAATCATATGTGTAATGATACTTATAATACTTATAATATTGTTAGAATTGTATTATATAAGATTTGTACCTGATATGACAGCAATTTTGTGAGATCTATGTTCTTCCTTTGCTATTCGTTCAGCTTCTTCCATTAGTAACATTCCGAATCCTTGATGTTGAAATTTTGTAGGATCACGAGCGTTTACTGGAACGACACTACCATATACATGAAGTTCTCTTACTATTGAACATCTGTCTTTAAGTTCTGGTCTGTAAAACATATTTGATTAATATGAGTTTCAATGTTTCAAATATATTCTTACAATAATTTCAATGATTTGATTTTACCTAAATGTATCGCTTGAACATTTTCTTAATCTCAACAAACCAACTAAAATATCTTGTGTAGGATCTTCGTAAGACAAAAATGTTTCCCACCCACCATTGGCAACGTAATCACGACGTATAAGTTCTACTTCATAAGGTTTTACTTTATGATGTATTTCCTGAATGCCAACTTCTCGAGTTCTAACATCACGACAATCCATTCCTAAATCTTTCATTCTTGCCAGTGCCAATTCGCGTAAATTTCCATGTTCTACGCCCGAACTGCGCATTTTAAAAATAAATTTAAATTAAATAGAGATAACATTATAAAGTGAGAATGTGATGTAATTATATAAATAAGATTACCTGACTAAAGGCATAGGTATATCTCTTTGTACACGATACACACGAGTCCAAGGCGGTATTAGAGCCAAAATTCGAGCTATAAGATCTATTAAAACGCTCGGTGGATAGCTTTTATATCTTCCAGTTTTCCATAATTCATATAAGCCTGTACCACGAATAACTAACGTTGGATAAATCTTCAGACCATCTGCTCTGAAAGCGGGATTTTCAAAGAATTCCTAAAAATATGTATAATTTCTTTGAAGAATTATAAAAATGAATAAAAAATATATTACGAATAGAGTTACAACTCACAATGAATTGATTAACATCCCTTTCAATATCGACATTTGGTAAATCTGGCATCATATGCGCTATTACTTTAAAACCGGCATCTTTCGATAGTTGAAAACTTTCGCACACTGCACGAACTGTGTGTCCTCTGTTAGTATCTCGTGCTATGTCTTCATATACAGATTGAACTCCAATCTCTAAACGAGTACACCTGTTACATTTGTTCGAAATACGAGTTTAAAGAAGATAAAAAAATATTTATCTTTATAAATTATTATAATATATGTACCCGTAACGTAACATATCGGAAAGATGTTTTTTAAGGCAATAATCAGGACGTGTTTCTATAGTGATACCAATACATTTTGTGCGACTCCGTTCAGAAAATTTGACTGCTTCATCAACATTACTGCTTACATGACCAGAGAGAGCATCATGTAAGTTTCGAATAAAGTAATCTCTGTAATCCTCTGGCAGAGACATGAAAGTACCTCCCATAACAATAAATTCAATTTTATCTACACTGTGCCCTAATTGTTTCAACTGTAACATTTTGTGATTATCATTTAATGTTTTTTATGTGACATAATTAATAAGTTTCTAACGTTACCTGTTCTACACGGTGTCTAGTTTGTAGAAATGGATTATACCTGGCTCTAATAGCTCTCATCGATGTAGGTTCATAACCAGTATAAGACTGCGTAGAGTATTCAAAGTCAGAGTCAGGTCCACCAGGACAATATACACAAATATTTCCTGTCATATTAATATGAGGACATCTATGAGGTTTACACATTACAGCCACAACAGCAATCTACAAAGATCAAATTAAACAGAGTCAAACTATGATTTACAGACAATTTGCAATTATAATTGCACCCTCATAATAAAACAAAATACTAACTCCACTGGCAGTTCTAATTGGTTTGGCTTTTAATTTTGGTACTAATATATTTCTTGCATCAACAGGAACAGCTGCTATAATATCAACCAATCTTGGTGAAGTTTCCAAACCATATTTAGAAGCAATTCGAGTTTTTAGTTTATTTAAATCAACATCTCTGTTTTCATCATGTGCTTTCAATAGTTCTTGTATAATTTCTCCAATAGTTATAACCATACGTTCTTCCTTACTTTGTTCAAATTCTAAAATTGAATACAGCGTACTTAATCAAATAGTGAAACTATCTTTTCTATAAATAATACTGTAAAATAAATTATTATATATAAAATTTTTTTCCCAATAATTTACCTTTTCTTTTTTTTACCATGATGATATTTTTAAATAAAACGTATTACAAATAATAAAATTGCCACTACCTTTTGCAAGGTATAAATATTTATTGTTGAACAAGATTCAATTTTAAGGTTATGTTTGGTAAAACATCCATGTTTCAGTCATTGACTAAGGATAAGTACCAATCTTGAAAAAAATTAGACTTTTTTGCGCCATCTGTTATTTATTACGGTAAAATAAAAATTTTAATTAAAGCAATAAACATAATAGTATTATTTTTATTATCACAAACAAGAACAAACATAGAACAGTGTTTTAGAATAGCATTTATAATAGAAAAACTTTAACATAAAAACTGGAATTAAATTACTTAAGACATGTTTATTTAAGTTAGATTAAAATATAAAACTACACATACTTGGTTATTTAATAAACAAAAACAATTAGGTAAAGGAATTATATTTGTCTCACGTTAATACAAAATACGTTGATAATGATTTTAATTTAAATACAACATCATAAAAATAGTAAAAATATTGCGATATTTAATCGATATAATTGCAATCTCTAATATTACGATATAAGTATACGTAGAAGTATTACGTAGTATATTTTATGCGGAAAGGAGGAAGCACAGGAAGGTGGAAAATTATTCAGAAATCCTCGGATAAAAATTCTAATTAATAACTTTTAGACTTTTTTTGCAATACTAAATATAATTGTGATTTAAAACAGTGAGCATTATATAAAATTATTGTATGTTATTATATATATGTGTGTGTGTGTCTGTGTAATCAATTCAATTATTAAAGGATGTTAGAAATTAATACACATAATATATAAAATATTTTTACAAATATTTAACTAAATTAAATTAACATGCATATATATACATAGATATTTATAAATTATAAATATATAAGTATAGTTGAAACAATTTTCATATGACACTTTGTTTTTCGATAAATCAGCCGAATCTTATTTGTGCAAGCTCCCACCCCACCAAATTAATTTGCGGCGCAAACCTGTTGCGCAGGGGGTTAGTTCATCATTGAAAATCGGAGTGTTAAGATCTGTGACATGTGTAATATTTATTAATTGAGTTATTTCTTTCACCATTATTCTTCCTTCTCTTCATACTCACACTACAGTTAATTTTCTTTAATTAAGGTACGTTTTCATACAACAATTTATCGAATATTATTATAATTTGCAAGTAAAATGTTCTTTTGTGATCGCTTGACCTTGATCACTTCTTTCGTTGTTACATCTACTATTGACTCGTATTATGATCTTTCAAATCGATATTTAGGCTTCACTATTGTTTCATGTTATGTAATTTGACTCATTTTATACGTTTATTAGAAAGTTTTCCTGTTCTTTTGTACAGATCATCATTTAATTATGAAGCAAAAGGAGGACGCCGCAAATTTCAAAAGGACGCCGACAGTTTTTTATGATGGTATGGTAATATTTGATTTATTCTAATAAAAGCAGACGTATTTACATGTTTTGTTTTCTCTTTTTGTTGGATAATTAGTAATTAGTAACTTTTTTAATAATTTATAATTTTGAGAATGCATGCTATCGTGTATAAATTTGAATGCATTCTGCGCATCGCGTCGTTTACGTACTGCGCAGCTTTGTTTGAAATAAAAAGAAGCGCGCCATATTTGATTAATGCTAAGTATATTTAAAACTTTAATGACGAACATTTATAAATAAAATTTTTATATATTTATTGTATTCATAAGAATATTTATAGATATTTGACAATAGAATTCGATATTAAGTAATATTTTAAAAAGTGTAATGTTATTTTAAACATATTAATTAAGAATATATATTTTATATTCTTAATATATCAATATTATTAAAATTTCAAATTTGAACGGAATTTTTCATTGTTTCAAATTGTTTAAATAATTTTTAACAACAAATTTTAATAATCTGTGCTATATTTCAGATTTCTCCCGGTCTTTACCTTTTTCTTGTGATTCAACTATTCCTATTCGATGATGACTTCTTCTGGATCACAGTATTCTTCTTTATTCGTGAGTTGCATACATTTTTGTTCCTCTGGTCACTCAATCATGTCGTAGGATGAAAGGTCCGTAACGATACGAGTGACTAGTTGTATTCTGTAGTAATTTTAACGAGCATAGTGACCACGGATATTTATTATATCCGTGGGTAGTAATATTATCATTTTTGTGTTTTATTTATTAGTTTAGGATAGGTCTTCTTGCATATTGTGATTTTAAATAATAATAACATATTAATAATTAATACGAGTATAATATTAACAAAATACTACAATATAAAGAATCAAACAGAATTCAATAGTACTTAAGAGATAAAATTTGTTTAATTTTTATCCATCAAAACTTTTTATATGCAAGAAGACACTTCGCGACAGACAGATTTCAAAATCAAAGCAACAGTTTTGAATCTTACTTTTGTGCTTTCAGTGTGCTTTGATAAAGAATTTGTCTGAGGATATTTTCATCAATATTTCGTTTACAATCATTATTATTCATTGGATATTATTTGTACTTGAATAAACTTCTTTTACTCAAATATATATATATAGTAATTTATTAAATTATTAAAGTAAATTATAAAGTAGAATAATTGAAAAATAAAATAAAGAAAATACAATACCAAAGAATATTAGCTCGTTAGATACAAAATAGATAAGTTAATAATCTTTTTAGCTCAGGATTTTCAGGTTTACTCTTTTCCATATTCATTGACAGAATTTTATTCACATGCCAAATGCATCCAAAGAAAGAAGCAAATTGCCATAGAAGAGGGCTGCAAATGGCTTATCATCCTCTGGATAGGAAATCTATTCAGAGCATGGAAAGTCATCCTTGGTTGTAGTACTTTGTCACTATGCTCGTTTTTAGTATTTGCATTATGTAGTAAAAGTATTTTTATATATATATATGTTGGTTCACCACCATCTTAGGCAAATCACGGTTTCTTTATTAATGTTTTGAAAAATTAATTATAAGTGATAATAGAATTGCGAGGTAATCAAGATTTTGTGTTGTAAATTAAAGTTACAAATAGATGTTGATTTCGGTTTACAAATGTGTTTATTTTAGTGTTTGTTCTAAAGCATTGTTGATTATAAATTCTTAAAGAACTATTAGATTTTTATACTTTATTTAAAATTGAATTAGAAAATTTTAATTCTAGAAAGGAAATAAGAAAGTGTGTTGGTATTATAACATCATTTTATTAGATTTAAATTGAAATTGGTTATAAATTATGGTGATGAGTTTGAATACTAGGACTAGGACAAATGGTTCTCGCTGCTCTGCTTTGTATACTCAATTTCATATTGCGTACAGTTGGTGAAGGATAAACATGATCGTCTGCAACTCCTTTCCCTTTCTTTTCTTCTTACATACACACATGTACAATCACGCGTGTTACTTCATCCTTATCTCTCTTAATTCCTTTCGTATTTTCTAAATGCACAACCGCCCCTTTCATCTTTTTCACTTTCATTTTCCTGTTTTGTTATTGTTATAATATAATCGTAATAACGCCTGCTCAACTATGACAAATGCACCAAATTCCAGCACCCAGTGTGCATAAGGAATGCAGTGCGAAAGATATCTTTTCCACTCAACACAATTTCTCTTTACTTGTAACCCATACAAAATTCGAGAAACGTAACATGTAACACCCTTATGCGTAGTAGCATATCTTACGTAAGAATCATTATTGTTTTATAATTGTATAATATCATAAAAAATTAAACGAAATGAGACAAGATCGAAAGGTTGTATTCGATCCATTACACTGAACCGGTATTTCCGTTCGCCAACGATTGTGCACGCGTGTTGCACAATACGTGACTAAATTCCCGCGTGTGGAGAACGTCAAGTGAACAACAAAATCTCCGATCACCGCACTTCTTATGCTCTAGAATCGCTCGATCTTGATACATCGTACGAATCGGTGATGCTACAGACAAAAAAACAAATGAACCAGTCCCGTGGACAGTGCTACGCTGGTATCTCCCAATCGCCAATATTATTCGCCAATGAAAAAAAAAAAAAAAAAGGAAAAGAAAGAATCGAAAGGGAATATCGGCGGTTTCATCGTTTTTTCTAATTATAAGTTGCCAGCAACTCTTTAATACCAGCTGTATTGGAGAGCTCCGTCCACGGTACAACGTCCGTAATAGTCCTCCTAAGAAGTAGCTCGTTTCGAACAACTTCGGGAGCTCAACCGGAAGTTTCTTTGCAAATGCTCGAAACCCGTCAGTGAGACTTAAATCTCCAAGAGACGTAAGTCTCTTCTTAACTGACTACAAACATAAGGTTGTTCCGGTGATAGAATGTTCGCGAGACACGTTCAATAAGCAACGCGACTTCGAGGCAATACGCGACGTTTTATTTTATATGTAGTTCGTCTGTCTCGCGATGCGGTCAGTAAAAACGAATACGAATAAAATTTCACATGATTGTTTAATTGCACTTTATTACAGCATGTCAATTGCTTCGTTAGATTAAATTGATTGGGCGACAGCGACTTTATTTAAACAGGTGAGAGAATTTAAGAGAGAATTAAAGAAAGGAAATTATCGCTAGGAAACAAATCGTAGGTGTTTTCGTGCCTTTAATTCGGAATAAAAGTAAATGCATCGCGAAGCAGAGGAATGACAATAAAATACAATGTCGTGAACGCGCGTCGCTTCGTAGATTAAAATCAACCGAAGTACGCATCTCTCTGCTCCGAGTCGCCGTTCTTTATCGACTCGTGCATCGACGCGTGGCAGTGATTACAGCGATAGATCGAAAATCGATTGTTCGCGACTACACGAGCTCAAGCTTAGCGCGCCTCCCGGGGGGAAACTTTTGTTTCGCCGCGAGAGACATTCCAACTAGTAATTGAGACTAATGAACCGTTCTCCTCGACTCGACGTTGACCGATTAAACGTGAGTTCCACCCTCGAATACCCTTCGAGGATCAAACAGCTTTAACAATCGCACGCTCCGCCAGCAACATTGTTTCCGATTGTTCGTTCCAATTCCAGCGTGACTCACGACGCGCTATTTCGACGTGAACACGGGGGCGACAGGGCGTCTCGATCAGTCGACTCGATACACCGAAAACGAAACGCGTGGGTCGTCGTTCGAAATGGAACGTGGTTTCGCCTTTACACGC